CCAGCATGAGGCCGGCCGCAGGGCTTATGGAGATGCACAGAAGCAGATTGGTGACATTAACAGAAAAATAGAGACAAAGACTTCCAGTTTGCAAGATATTCAGAATGAAATTGAGAAACTCAGACTTGAAGCATCCGAAGCCCGTAAAGTGGAGAAAGTAAGCAGCAGCAATATATGTATTCGTCATGCTTTGCTTGCATTTTCAGTATAAAATTTTAGGGTTTGGAATAATGTAGGCATGCCTTGAGGAACAAGAGAGGTTCATACCTCTGGAACAGGCTGCAAGACAAAAGGTTGTGGAGCTTTCATCAGTTATGGAATCTGAGAAGAATCAGGGATCTGTCTTAAAAGCAATACTCCATGCTAAAGAAGCAAACATTATACCAGGAATATATGGCCGAATGGGGGATTTGGGAGCTATTGATGGTGAGCGTATATTATTTTAAAATAGACCTTTGCTAGTCCATAATTGTCTCTCGGCTACCTTTCATTTGTCTTAAAAACTCCTACAATGCTCTACTTATATTTATGTGTATATATACATGTATATCTATATATATCCTTTATTACATGTACATTTATATGAATACTTTGACGAATTACTTTGGCTCTACAGTGGTTAACCTTCATGACCCTTTCGTATTCAGAAATGCAACTAATTCTTTCTTTTCTTTTAGTGATTTGGACAGTGGTGAAGATGTTATTGATAAGTGGTTTTACAATAATTATGGTGTATTTATTGTTCAGTAGTTTTATTCACTATGTTATTTTATTTTAATCATCCATTCTTTTTCTGCAGCAAAATATGATGTAGCCATATCGACTGCATGTCCTGGACTTGATTATATTGTTGTCGAAAACACTGCTGCCGCACAAGCTTGCGTTGAGTTACTCCGCAGCCAAGACCTTGGGGTTGCTACTTTCATGATTCTGGTAGATTACTTGTTCACCTTCTAGCTTTATAAAAATTTTAGTGTCAAATTGTTTCTTGCTGTACATTTGATTGGGTAGATTGGGTTTTTGTTTGTAGAAGAGCAATTGTTTTACTAGGTGGTCTCAATTTTTTCAGGAGAAACAATCCAGTCATCTGCCTCGACTTAAGGAAAAAGTTGTGACTCCAGAAAATGTCCCGCGCCTATTTGATTTGATCAAGGTGCAGGATGAGCGGATGAAACTAGCTTTCTTTGCGGCCTTAGGGAACACAGTTGTAGCTAAAGATCTTGATCAGGTAGTTTCGTTATTGGCTTATTGCCTCTCTTGACTTTTATCTTATTGCTACTTGAAAACGAGGGGAGTACACATTCTTCCGTCTTAAGGTTTTCACCATGTAAATTGCAATTGAACGTAGTATTATCTCTCTATTCATTGGAAGTAAGTGTTACAAAATTACAGGAAAACTAAAGTGCTCTTAACCCCCAGAGAAAATCTTTGCAAGTTTACTTCACCCAGATTGTTTTCAAAATGTAGCGGAACTTTTTATTTAGTAACATTATTTATATTCTATGATGATCTCTTTGTTTTAGGCATCTCGGGTTGCTTATGGGGGAAAGAAGGAATTTTGGCGTGTTGTGACACTTAATGGTGCTCTGTATGAAAAATCTGGCACCATATCTGGTGGTGGAAGTCGGCCACGCGGGGGCAAAATAGGAACGTCCATTCGTGCCAGTGTCTCTGGTGAAGCTGTTGCAAATGCTGAAAAAGAGTTGTCCGATTTGGTTGAGAGCCTAAACACTGTACGTAGCAAGTTAGCTAATGCGGTTAAGCATTACAAGGATTCAGAAAAAGCCATTGCACCTCTGGAGATGGAGTTAGCCAAAAGCCGAAAGGAGGTAGGTTTGCCCGCCATTTAAGATTGTGTGTGTTCGTCATATATAATGATCTTGTCTCTGTTATCCGACACTATATTAAACCTTGGCAGATAGACAGTCTGAAGTTGTTATTAGGTGATATAGAGAAGCAGCTAGGTTCCCTCAAGGCTGCATCACAGCCTCCAAAGGCAGATTTGGATCAACTGAAGAAGCTTGCAGACATAATTTCTGCTGAAGAGAAAGAGATTGACAGGCTTACACAAGGCTCGAAACAACTCAAAGAGAAGGTTGCTACATCTTGAACTTTACCCTTCGCTAGTTATTTTATGTGTTCTCATTATTGTTTCTACTTTGTCTTCAATTGGAAACTATGTTTGCTTTGCAGAAGTCTTCTGAAGTCTTTGAATGATGGAAACATATATCTGTTCTTTCTTATATCATTCAAACGAGTTGTTTACAGTATGTGGCACAATCTTATATGGAGAAAGTATCATTAATGTTGATGTTATGCTGTATAGGCTTTGGAGCTACAGAACAAAATAGAAAATGCTGGTGGAGAAAAACTGAAAAACCAGAAGTCTAAAGTTAGCAAAATTCAGTCGGTAAGTACTAGCAATGCATTCTGTGAGAGAAATTGATAGGCCTTGAACATTTGTGAATGACTATTGTACTTTCCAATTAATTCATTTGCCAGGACATTGACAAAAATAGTACTGAGATTAACCGCCGCAAAGTTCAAATAGAAACAGGTCAGAAAATGATAAAGAAACTGACAAAAGGGATTGAAGAGTCCAGAAATGAGAAAGAACGGCTTACACTGGAAAGGGAAAAATTACAGTCCACCTTTAAAGAAATTGAACTGAAAGCTTTTACTGTTCAGGAGAATTATAAGAAAACCCAGGAGGTTAGTAGTAGTTAGTACACATTTTTTATATTTGCATGTTCAGAGGTACTTATAATGTGATTAATGCCAATGATGTCAATGTGCAAGTAATGTATTTCTATTTATAGCTGATAGATCAACACAAAGATGTGCTGCACCAAGCAAAATCTGACTATGAAAAACTGAAGAAAATTGTGGATGAGCTGCGAGCATCTGAGGTATGATTCACTAAATTAGGTCTCGTCTTTCTTCGCATGGTAATTTGTCTATCCTGAGTCAACTTAACAAATTCTGAAGGTGGATGCTGAGTACAAGTTACAAGATAAGAAGAAAGCATGTAAAGAGCTGGAAATGAAGGGGAAAGGTTACACGAAGAAGCTTGGAGATCTTGAAGTTGCAATTTTAAAGCACATGGAACAGTAAGCATTTGTCTTGCATCATGAATTGATGCATTATTTACCGAAGAGCAGTTTGTTTTTATTAGCATCATCAACCATATAATGCTATGCACTGTAGTTCCCATTTTGGCTACACTGTTACATAATTGAGGAAATTTCTTTCGTTGAAACTGTGACAAAAAGTTGAAAAGACGTGACTTTCATCAATCATTACTTCCCATCTCCTTCCCTGTTGTTAAACTAAATACATTTCCTCTGATTTATTCCCATAATATCGAAGGTGACATGCAACATGACCTTTTCTGTAACAGAATTCAGAAGGATATGGTGGATCCTGAGAAGCTTCGCACAGTGTTGACAGATGTAACTCATGATGAAATCAGTGACCTTAAGAGGTCTCTTGAGAAGGTGGCACTTCTTGAGGCCCAACTGAAAGAAATGAACCCGAACCTTGACTCAATTGCAGAGTATGTCTTTCTGTCCGTTTATTCTGATTTAGTGATAATATTTAATTTTACTTTCAGATAATTCAATGAGAATCCCCTCAGGTATCGGAAAAAAGTTAGTTTGTACAATGAGCGAGTTGGTGATCTTAATTCAGTAACTAATGAGCGTGATGACATCAAAAAGCAATATGATGACTGGAGAAAGAAGAGGTGAATCTTTGGGTTTAATTTATCTATCTTGGAAATTTGTTCCTCTCTCCTCAAATCTGCTAACATTATATTTTCTCTTCCTGCCAATATTTTCAGGTTAGATGAATTCATGGCAGGTTTCAACACAATCTCGTTGAAACTGAAAGAAATGTACCAGGCAAGACAGCAATTTGGTTTCTAACAATCTACACGCAAGTCTAAAAATGTCTATATTATTATTTTTGTGTGAAATCTTCCTTTTGCCATATTCTTCTTTTATGACCTTGTTGCAGATGATTACACTGGGAGGTGATGCAGAGCTTGAGCTAGTGGACTCGTTGGATCCTTTTTCCGAGGGAGTCGTTTTTAGCGTTCGGCCGCCCAAAAAGAGCTGGAAAAATATTGCTAACTTGTCAGGCGGTGAAAAGGTAATTGCATTTCTATGCTAGACTTAATAGTTAATCTGAGAGGCAAATTTCATAATTAACCAGAAAAGCACTCTGTATCAGACACTCAGCTCACTGGCTCTCGTTTTTGCCTTACACCACTATAAACCAACTCCACTCTATGTGATGGATGAGATAGATGCTGCTTTAGGTATACGCCTTTTTCTTTCTTTCTTTCTTTTACTTTTCCTATTTTTTTTTTCCTTTGATCATTTGTTTTTCTGTGTGGTGGAAATTGTGATCATTCTTGGCAGATTTCAAGAATGTCTCTATCGTGGGGCATTATGTGAAGGACCGTACAAAGGATGCACAGTTCATCATCATAAGGTGGATTTTCTGTTATCATTTTCTTCACTAGATTTTTCCTTTTTTAACGTATTATTCGAGATAATTTTCTTTAAAAAAAAAAAAAACTTGATTTCACACAATTTGCAGCCTCCGGAATAACATGTTTGAGCTGGCGGACCGGCTCGTTGGAATTTATAAAACCGATAACTGCACCAAGAGTATCACCATCAATCCTGGAAGCTTTGTAGTCTGTGAGCAAGTCTCTTAACCTCTCTCTCACAAATCACCCTGCAACTTTTTTATCTTTTATTTCATGAACTTGTAGTGTACTCATGTCATATTTGTGTAGATCCTTTGGCCATGACATCTTGGCTCTAATTAAGTAATTATTATCTTGAATTGGTGCAATGGGTTTGTAAGTTGACCAACCATCATTGTCTAAACTCTAAAGTATAATATAATATACTTTTCTCTTATATTTATTTATTTAATAGAAAAAAAAGTTGTTAAATTATTTTCCATAAAGCCTGCAAACACACTCNAAAAAAAAAAAAAACAAAAAACTGCATCCCATATAGGCACTCTTGCAACACACCACAGTTTACATACATAGATCACTTGCTTCAGTCTCGACCGTAGATCTTATAGACGGTCAAGATTATAGATCACTAGCTTCAATCTCAACCGTAGATCTCACAGAAGGTCAAGATTATCACGTGGCACCCCGTGTTGCTCGTGATTGCCTCTCATCATCAATCGATGTTTGAAAGACAGCGAATGCGTATTTAGAGCGCCAGCTGGCTTGTCCGAAACCCGTATGAAACTGTAGGACCATGCTCCCAACAGGGTCCCGCAGATGGGCCCCACTATGTAGACCCAAATGCCGTCGTAAAAATTGCTGGCCACTGCTGGGCCTATGGTTCTTGCCGGGTTCATTGATCCACCTGATATGGGCCTACACAAAAAGTTGTATAGTCAAATGGGCCAAGGCTTGGTCTAATAAATGAGTGAGCTCGAGTCTGAAATATTTTCTCACCCGGCTAAGATTGAAGTGATGCAAACTGCAGACCCAACTGCTATTCCCGCCAGCTCCCCTATCTAATAAATCCAAATTCGACCAAATTGAAGGAACAATTACATAACACATCAAGCAACAGAAAAAGAAATTAAAAAAAAAAAAGAAGAATCGCGATGGTTTATTATTTTGAATTTATTTATTTTTTTCAAATCGACCCAACCTATGTTTACGAATTTTACGTAGAGGCGGAAAGTTTTCTAATCTTGTTAATTAAGATTTAATTAAATTTTTTGGTTTTCCGGGGTGATGATGTGGGGGCTCGCCAGGCTTTTCTTACAGCTTTTGTATCGGTGGCTACTGCTGAGGTAATGAACATCATGGAAAACGTGACAACTATTTCCATGATGAGGGCTTGTATGTGGGCCCCAGTTGGTGACGTGGTGCCTACGTGTTTTATTGGGTGCAAGAGAACCCGCAGCGTGAAGCCGGCCGAAATACCCCCCGTCAGCTGTGCGGCTATGTAAATCGGTACCTGGATTCACGATCATANGTGGACTAGCAACCATGCATTAGAAGAAAAAATTGCATGCATAGCTTCTTAATTAAATACTTTCAAGTCGGTAATTAATTAACTAATTAATTAGCGTACCTCATCACTAAAACCACCACAAAGAAAAAAAAAAAGGTAATAAAAACAAATAACAAAAAAAAAAATAATAATCAAGACCTGAATCCAGGGGAAATGCCGAACGGCAGCAAAGGCTAAAGTGACGGCCGGGTTCATATGAGCACCGGATATGTGACCAACGGCGTAGATCATCACAGTCACGATTAGACCACCGGCAACCGATGCTCCAAGTCGAGACACTTTGTGTTCGTCGGTCGAGCTAAGAGCAGCCGAGCCACACGTCACGAACACCAGAAGAAATGTAGCGATTATCTCCGCCATAACCTAATAGTAAAAAAATATTAATTCATGGTATATATATATATATATAACCATGTAGGATTTTTTTTTAAAAAAAAAAAAAGAAAAAGAAAAATGAAAGGAATTGTATATTAAATTGTTAATACCTTCTTCAAGAAATCAGGAGGGTATTTTTGTACAAAATCCCTCCAGAAGGAAACCGTTAGAGGCGATTCGAGCTTCGGGTTCTCAACAGAGACGAGCCCGGATACATCGCCGTAGTTTAGCTGCCGATTATTATCCATATTTTTCCAAGTATAAAGAGAAAAAATGTTCCTTGTTTAGAATACGAGGAGTAGTGAACTGAAGAGAAAATTAGAGGCTAGGCAAGAGATGAAAGAAAACAAACTTGGTTTTATAGATGAAGCTAGGCCAAAGGAGCTTGTTTATATAGACTGAGTGGATGGAGAGACTCGAGGGATTTTATATATGTTTTATAATGTACGTTATATGTCATGTTGTGTTGGCCTGTCTAATAGTTCACTCTTCTAAGAAATATCATATTTTTATAATATAATATACAATGAAAGCAACATATTATAATATGTAAATTTGAACTTTTATAATAAAATATGACAGTCTTAACTTTAATAAGTCTAACAACAATATTAGTGTTGGTTTCCAAAGTATTTGTTTAACGATAAAGCCATTCAAAATGAGTTTTTTTAATTAACTACGGCTAATTTTGAGAAAGTTTGATGGTTAGTTGTTAGTGAGATTGTGATTTTATATTAAAATAATATTTAAAATAAAAAAATTAAAGTTAATTTGATGTAAGTGATGATTAGCTAAAATTATGTGAGTAGATGAATAGTAGATTAAAGTTGATGATGTGATTTGTAACAATGATTGGTTTGTATTATTTAATTATATTGATAATATAAAGTATATTATCGTTGAGTTAGGTTTTTATGAATTTAATGTGAATGAATTATTTTTTAGACAAACATGTTATTAATAATTCAATTCATAACCGTCCTTTTATTTGAAGATATAATAATGAGGATACTTGGAGTTAAATCCTTAAAAAATCCTTAAATCAAGTTTTCTTTTTATCTACCTATATCTATAATCTATTTATTTATTTTAGTTTATTTATTATTATTTTTATTTTTTTGCTTTTTCAAACCATGCATGATACCTATGTTTATGATCTAGGATAAATTTGAGAGAACAAATTAAATGAAAGTGAAATATCAATAAAAGGTAGAAACATAATTGTTATATTTTAGTGGCTACCAAGAATTCAAAGTGCCCATCTCCTTCAAATCAATTTAGTCCAAGAATAATCAGTCACTTTACTGTCACATGGCGATTGGCCATACACGTCTTCACCTATATTTGTCATAGTATAGATATTTATGATATTCAAATATAATCACAAATTAATGAAACACATTGCTTAATTTAATGATATAACAGACTTGAAATCCTAATATGAGTCTATCATTAATTTTAAGCTTATGCTTAATTTTATTATCACAGACATATACTCAATTCTATTCAACAATATATGATGCTTGTTATGAATAAGGAGACTCGCCACTATTTTACTTTATATTTGAAGCAAAAGTTGTTTGAAAAAACATATATTAATTTATATTAACAAAATATATATAACATTCTTCTCGAGGGAGTTGAATAAAAAGTAAATACTTTTTCATTGTGGAATTAATAGGTGGTTCTTAATTAGAGCATGAAAATATCAAGTTGCACCATACTAAGCCACAATTAATGTATCAAATCACCTTCTATTATCTTCCTTGAGAAAAAAGAAGAAAGAAAATATATAAAATGGCTAATTTGAGACACAGACAATTAACCTAAGTAAAACCATTACTTTTGAAATAGCAAATTAATTAAACACCACAAAACCTTCTTATCTTCACCGTCTACATGCATAAAATCTTTAACCAATTGCTTTTGGCCTTTACCTACATTTGGTGCTTTATTAGATGTAGACATCGTCCACGTGTCCGTCCTTATAATCTTGTAATCCTCCACATTCCTAAAGATTGGGACACTTAATTTGTTGTTATTATGGCACTACTGGAGTTATATTATAAATTAATCGATATTGTGTACTATAGCAAAATTGAGATTGCCATCATATAGAGCTTTCTAATGCTACAAACAAGCCGAGTCGAGTCGAGTTATATCCTTATCTAGTTGAGCTCAATTTTTTTCATTTGGAACTCAAGCTCGACGATTGAAGCTCGTTCAACCTGATCAACATGATAATATTGTACAAATCTTTGAGATCGGTTTGGAATTGACTCAAATTTTGACTTTACACTTGAGTGATTTATTGAGCAATCGAGCTTACAAAATGAAAGCTCGAGCTCAGTCAAACTCGAGTTCGAGTAAAGATTTGACTCGAGAGCTCGTGAGTGCCTCGCGAGCAGCTTGACTCGTCTACGACTGAGTTTTATCAATCCTGGAGAAAATGTTGACATGATTAATTGTTTGATAAAATTTAATCCGATTTTTTCATTTGGTGCTCGAGCTCGACGATTGAAGCTCATCCAGCCTCAACGCGATAATATTGTACAAATGCTTGAGATCGGTCTTGAATCCACTCAAATTTTTATTATATACTAGAGCAATTTGTCGAATAATCGAACTCACAAAATGAATCTGCTCAAATTTTTACTAAATACTAGAATCGAACAATCGAACTTACAAAATGAAAGCTCGAGGTCAGTAACTCGAGTTTGAGTCGAGATTTGACGCGAGAGCTCGTGAGCGTCTCGCGAGCCGCTTGACTCATTGCGACCGAGTTTTATTAATCACGGAGAAAATGCTGGTAGGATTGTTTGATAAAATCTGATTAAAGCCATCATTTGTTTAATAATTTTTGCTGATTTTTTGGTATAAAGTTGAATAGGCAAAAAATAAACACAAACTCGGCCTAGAAGCACGTCTTTCGAATCTTTTTACATGAAGTGGAAATCATTTTCGTGATACTATTCATATATGAATAATTGTTCACTGATTAGACCTGAATTGCTCCACCAATTTCAGAAACATGTAATCAAGGCACCATATACATTATTTGCACTTTCACTTGTTAATCCCTTTTTTAACTTAATTTCTTTTTAAACATTATCAACTATATACGTGTTATCCTGAACAAAGGATAATTTAATTTCTTACTTCACTATGTGAAATGAGCTTTACATGTATAGAAATTATATACACTAGTACAATGCCCGTGTATTACATGATGTTTATTAAAAAAATATTCTTACATTTTAAAATTAATGAGAAAAATTATTTTAAATTTTATTTACTTTCTTACAAAAATATATATTATTACATACTTTAGAATGACACTTGTTACTTGTGCGACTTACATGTGTTATATTATAGTAATTTTTGTAACGTATATCATATAACTACTTGAAATATAAATATATTAATTGATAAATAACTTTATTTTTTTAATTAATATTAAAAATAAATTTATTATAGTTATAAAGATAAATATAATTTATTTTTTTATACATACAATAGAAATGTTAAATCGAAACACGTCAAGAGATGATTAATTTGATATATTATATATCTAAAACTGATAAAAAATACAAAATTTATTAACTTTTAAAATACATTTTCAATTCAATCGTTATAATAAGAAATAATATTAAATTGCAATTAATACATGTAACATGACGGTAAATAATCAACATATTTATGGATAATATGAACCTAATTATTTTTGAATTAGAAGTAAATTAAATCTACTCAAACCTAATAACGAAACATGTAATTTTGCCAGATAGGATCCCGAAACATTGCGAGTCCAACACGTTTTGAATTAATATATAGGAGATGTTATCCTCAACAAGATTTGCACTTTCACTTGTTAATCCTTTTTTTTAACTTGATTTTTTTTAATATAATTAGCAATTATATACACATTATCCCCGACCAAAAGCTAATTTCATATCTTATTCTATATGAATGGGCTTTATATATATGTATAGAAATTATTTATTTATTTTGGTATGAATTGGTTATATGTTCGTGTCGGGGCCTCGTAATATACATGTTCTACAATGAATTAGATCACGGCCATGTTCAATTGTTTAAATTAAGAACATGAAATTAGGCAGTATTTAAATGACTAATTATGAATATTTAACGGGTCCTGAAAATTTTCTTACCTAATACACTTTTATCTTCTATTCTAAAAAGAGAGATCAGTCATTTTTATTAGTCTAAGATTATATAGGTGAG